GGCCTGGACCCTGGGTCTGAGGGAGGAGGGCTGGGCCTGGACCCTGGGTCTGAGGGAGGAGGGCTGGGTCAGGACCCCCGGGTCTGAGGGAGGAGAGCAGAGGCCTGGACCCCTGGGTCTGAGGGAGGGAGGTTGGGCTTCTGTATCTGAGGTAGGAGACCTGGGGTCTATATTCCTGGGCTGGAGGGAGAAGGGCGGGGTCCTGACTTGAGGGAAGAAGCCGAGTGTCCATCCTCCCAGAAGACTCCAGCCAGGCTGCCCTTCCCTGCTATGACCCTTCCCTGAAGTCCGTCTTCTGGGTTGACTCCCTGGCCCCATTGTCCCCCTTGCTGTGCCAATGGGTCCCAACCTCTGCATGCCGAGGAGGTGCAAAGGATTCTGGGGCCTCGGGGACATGGAGACCCTCAACCTGTCCCCTTCCCTGTCTCCACAGCCTCCGCTACCACAACCTCCATCCAGACTACATCCACGAACGGCTGCAGGGCCTGGGGAAGACCTTTGCCCTGCGCGTGCTGCTGGTCCAAGTGGATGTGGTAAGCAGGGCTGTCGGCTGGCCGTCCTCTTTCCATGCAGCTGCGGCGTGGAGTTAACGCATGGGCTGCCGGATCCCTCTTAAGACAAAACACCTAAAACCTCATCGAGGAAAGGATTTTCAGCTGAAATTGCCGCAGGAAGGACAGCATGGGCTACAGGGTGGGGAGGAAAGTTGTTAGACCAGAGGTGGTGGCGCATCCCTGCCATCCGATCTCAGCACTGGGCTACAGAGGGGGCTTTGACTCAAATAGAATTAAAGGTAGGATTCCTAGCTCAACAGGAGAGCCCCTGCCTAGAATCCCCCAGTGAGGGGCTGGGGGTGTGGCTCAGTGGTGGAGCCCCTGCCTAGAATCCCCCAGTGAGGGGCTGGGGGTGTGGCTCAGTGGTGGAGCCCCTGCCTAGAATCCCCCAGTGAGGGGCTGGGGTGTGGCTCAGTGGTAGAGCCCCTGCCTAGAATCCCCCAGTGAGGGGCTGGGGTGTGGCTCAGTGGTAGAGCCCCTGCCT